TTCGTTAAAAAGGGCAGCTTGATCAGATGGATTGTTTCGAAAGCGATTATGATATTTAACAGTTTCAGGGATCCTGGTTGACTTTGATTTAGACTTAACGTAGGTCCAGAATTTCTTGGAGATAAGAGCATCATCGGAGTCATCCTCAACACTGAGTCTCATTTTTTCGTCCATCATATTTTTAAATTTTGTTCGAAATGCACGAAACTTTTGTTTATGAGACTCAGAGTTGCTCCCCTTATGCCTTATTCTCCATTTCTCCTTATTTCGTAGGAGACGATCACATTCGGAGTCATACCATGGAGGCTGGAACTGAGACTTAATGGTCTTTTTAGGGATCCATCGGTCACAGGCTGCATCAAGAACTCCTCTGAATCGACTCCAGGCAAGATAAGGATCATTACACTCAAATATACTATCCCAATCGATGCTAAATAACTCAGAATTCAGGCCCCTAAAATTACCTTTACTATAATTAAAGATCTTTCTTTTAGGCTGCTTAATATACTTGGTCTTAACATCAATGTCAAATGTTATACAAAAGTGGTCGGACATACACATTTCGTTTTGATCTAAAACTTTAACATTCTTAATAAGGTTCTGAATGTTAGTGAACACAAGATCTAAGGTGTTGCCTGACTTGTGAGTAGGGGAGCTAATAAGTTGTGTATGTCCGAGGTCATCAGTGAGAAAATTTACAAAGCTAGAATGTAGCTGGCAAGATGACTGACCATCTGGCCAGGAAATCGAAGCTAAATTAAAGTCCCCTACCAGAATGTGTCTTTGCAACTTTCTGGCAGATGCTAAAGTAACAAAATGTTTCTTGAAAGATTCAAAATTATCTAAGCCAAGCGTTCCTACTCTATAGAATGTAGATATGCTAAAGTTTCTTCCACACTGAGTCTTGATTATGACGGATAATAATTCAGCTTGAACACTAACCTTTGAGAACTTTAGACTCGAGATATCAATGTCTGTTCTATGGGCAATCAGAACACCACCACCGTTTTTTCTGAATTTCTTGGGCTGGGTTGCATCCACTGGATGCGATCTTAGGGATCGATCAAGCCTAAATACTTTGTATTTGTCAGGGAGCACTTCATTACTGAGAATGGAATTTTTCAGCCATGTCTCGTTTAGAATAATGATGTGAGGCTTATGTTTGTAGATATAACCATGGAATTCATGTATCTTGGTCATATTTAGTGGTGGTGTTCCTGATGCTAGATCACGGGTATTTAGGAAACCATGGACATTATTGTAAACAACGGATAAATTTGGTCCAGGGTTCAGTAAGGAACAATTACAAATTACTATCAGGGAAATATTAAGGAGAGATAGAAAAACCAGACCACACCTAGACATGACCCCAAGCCAGCTGCTGGTAATACCGAAAAGTAACTTAACAGTCTGTTTCGGTGACATGGTAGGTGACAGTTCGGTTTTTGTGGTAGATAGCAATTTTACAGAAATTGCAGCTAAGGCTGTCCCAATGCCCCTCTCCCCCCTATACACAAGTTTAAAGTGTCTGAGAAAAATGGTACAAAATATTACCATAAAGTAAAGATTTATGGATGACCTCAAACATGGTACAGAGTGTATTTTAGGTTGGAGGGGAGCACTAGGGAGTATATTAGCATCGATAGTCAAAGAAAATATATACAAAATAACATAAAAATAAAATAGACCCAATAGAGCACATAACATATGACGAGACAGAAGACAGGACAACAAATTTTCCCCGTTACCTCTATAACTTTTGCTGATGATAACATACCTAGAAAACATACCAGTTGCAACACGGTGTTGTTGAGCTGATATTCCCATAAAACTTATAAGTATATTATTAACAGAATTGTGTCTCGCCGTTGTGTTTTGTTAGGTATTGTGCTATAATATGAAGTAACATACATTATGCTATCACTTCGTTTGAATACATATAAATAACATCCAAATGATCAGATCCAATAGGATACTGATGCAGACAATGAAAAATTGAATTGAATTACCACATCAGTATCCCAATGGATTAAACCACTTTGAGTGTATAATTCTGAGATAGAACTTTGCCAACACTGGCATCCCAGCCTTAGGGCTGGGATGAATATCATAAAAGCCCCTATTGTCACACTTAGGAAATAATCTCTCGTTTCTGTTTCCAAAGCGGTCTAAGAAAGCCCAAAAAACATCAAGGTAAAACAGTTTATGCCTAGAGCAGCGATCAAAGATCAAATTATTCATAGCACAAACATTACCAGGGATTTTCTCTTGTCCGTTGGGGTGGACTGGTGGAATTGCTTGTACAAAAACACGTGCATTCGGATAAAGTTTCTTGGCTGTCTTCATAAGGTCACTCACAGGGGTCTTGAGATGATTGACACCCTGGGTACAGTACCGGATGTCGTTGGCACCGAAGCTTAAGAACAGTTTCTTTACCTGCACTAGAGGGTTCTTTGTATAAAAGGCCTCAATAGAGTTCTGTATAGCGGAGATCTTAAGCCCACCCTTAGCTATGTTGGTGACAGTTTCTTTACCTCTACTTAGGCGATCAGCGTCCAATCGGGCAGCAAAGGAGTCACCAGCAATGAGGATGATAGACTTCTGGTGTTTGTGGGAGTCTGTGATGGGAGCTTTTGGAGATACTTTATTAGGACTGTCGGATGTAGGAGAGGGAAGAATAGGAAATGAAGGGGAAGAGGGGGGTGTGGCTAACTTTCTGAAGGAGAGACTATACCTCCAACAAATTTCATTGTCAGAAGGTACATCTCCTGGGGCAATCCTGTGCCTCATGACTTGCTGTGCACCAGGCTTCATGATGTTCAGAGTGCCATTGGTGGCAGGGAGGGTGAAGTCTGCGTTAATCAACTCTCGGGCTGGCCTTGACCTAGAGGCCCTAGTTGTGCGTTGTTCTACTTGGGTTGTATCAAGCACAAACTCAAGCGACCGTGGAGCCCCTATTGAGTAAGTGCAAATGGAGCTGGACTGTGATATTATTAGGTCTTCATCATCTTTATGGAGGCTTAACTTAGCTTGCTGAGTGTCGTACCTAGTAACAAGGCAAGCATCCATGTTGTTGGTGGTGGAGGGGAGGTCATTAATAAGTCCCATCAACTTAAAGATGCTAGGGAAGTTGTTGATGGGATGTGGCTTGTTAACTATGTTTCCAAAACAGTAGTTTTCTGACGAAGGGCTTAGCCATAGGGTGTGGACTTTTTTAGGTTTGCCTTCAAGATTCATTGAATCTAATTCTTCTGTGATTGCCTGGAATAGACTTTCGTCCATTCCAGGGAGGACCGGAACATGCTCTACGAGCGGATGTGGGCTTTGCACGAAATTTTGAACAGTAGTTTCCTTCTTGTTTTTCTTTTCCTTCTTCTTTTCATCTATACGTTCTATTTTAGAAGCAAGCTTCTCCTCTTTCAGACTGTCCAGGATACTCTGAGCTTCTGAGTAAGGAGGGTATGCATATGTTGCTTTACTTCAATAGATAAGTCTTGCAGTAAGGTGAGAAAGTTGGCGGGCAGTGTTGGCATCTTGTTGTGAAGTGTGGGAGGATCGGGAGGAGACTGGGTGATCCGGATAAGAGATCAACAGCAGGATGTTTCAGTGGCACCGCTATAAACCATAGCAATCTGGATCTGAAACAGTTAATAGGCCAGAGATTTATAGTTCAGAGTGAAAAATTATGAATTATAATGAACAGAAGTGTTGTAAAGAACTGTATAGCAGAAAAAATAATGCAATACTTAATTAAGGGAGAAGTAGCTTAAAAAGGAGTTAATAAATTTCAAACATCACTAGATCTCTAACAATAAAACTAACCTCGTACCAGACCGCAGGAGCCCTGGTAGTACAAGACTACCAGGGCATTAGGAAGAAACGATTACCACCTCAACAACCTGTTATCTAACTCAAATCCATCACACCCAGGACACCGGCAGACTTTACTCCAGCGATTTACTCATCGGTAGCCATGCCTAAAATTATTTGTTATATAGTAGTGTTGAAAGTATTAAAACTGGAAAACTGTACAGGTATCCTAGGAAGATATACATCTGGCCTTTTCAAAAGATCGTACATTTTGATAGGGCATCCTTTATACTTAACAATATTAGATGGATCAACGCCAAAAAATACTAGAATGATTTGATTGGATCTGAAACTTTCGCCAGTATTACCTTTTTAATATAATAATTATGGTAATACAAATCGTAAATGTAGAGTGAAGAAGTTACATCAATAATATAACTATGACTTGGCAACACAAGTACAAGCAACAAGGAACAGGAGATCACTATACTGAATTGGTTTCTTGATCTAGTTAGGAGCTGAAGTTAATGTCCTGGAAAGAGTGTTAACAAAACCTTGCACGTTTTCTCACTCTTCCCTGGCCCCATCTTCTTGGCTCACTCATCTGGATAAGATATTTTCAGTGACTATTTCTTGTGTAATGTACAATATTATATATCAGACTAACCTATATCTACTATTTAAGTTAAGTATATATAATGTATATCACATACTGTTACAAAAGTGCAGCGAAGTTTTTTAAATAGTTGTAAGGTCTGTACAAAGCGCCTAGTCCGTACAAAGCGCCTAGTCTGTACAAAGCGCCTAGTCCGTACAAAGCGCCTAGTCCGTACAAAGGGCCTAGTCTGTACAAAGCGCCTAGTCTGTACAAAGCGCCTAGTCCGTACAAAGCGCCTAGTCCGTACAAAGTGCCTAGTCCATACAAAGCGCCTAGTCCGTACAAAGCGCCTAGCCTGTACAAAGCACCTAGTCCATACAAAGTGCCTAGTCTAACACAAGATAAACTTGTATTTACTAGTATTTGTTGTATGAAGTTCCACCTAAAATGTGTTCACCTAACACCTAGTGACATCACTGAACTGGCATAGCAAAATTCCCGTTTCCAATGTGCATGATCATCTATCAAATCAAATTGACAATCAAGATGATACCGATGCTGATTTTTTAAAAACAATACTCTGATGTCCATTAGGATTAAAAATGGTTCGAGGCAGCTGCTACAAGTGTGGTGAGAAGGGACATCAGGTCAAGGACTGCACCGCTACTGGTAAGTTTGGAGAGACAGCATTTAGCCAGCCATCAGCGATAACGTTAGATTTCAAATTGCTGAGATTGCTGTAGATTTTTCCAAAACTACAGATAATTCAACCAATTCTAATTTTCAGAGACTTTGTGTTACAATTGCAACAAAACTGGACACATTTCTACTGAATGTCTTGAAGAACGTAAGTTTTTCACTCCTTGATTAAATACACAACATGATATAAACCGGACCCTCACACAGCACACTCAGTACTCTCAAATTATACTTGTCTTGAGGCCTACATGCAAGCAATCTACATGAGTCATACATCATTTAACACGTTCTATTGAGTTATAATATTTAACTTACGTATGATATAAGCTCTAACAGTTGACACACGTTCAGGTAGAGAACGTCAACCATCAGATACCAGGAGACGTAGCCGAGGTGAGTGATGTTGTCTAATACTTAATAAACGTATTATAGTAGTTCCATATTGAAATGTTAGTCAAAATTCTTTACCTTGAGTTTGATACTTCTTGAGAACGTTTTTTGCTAAACTTAATTCGCAGGCGGTGGTCGACCCAGGGGAGAGTTTAAGCCTGAGGGTGAAGGAGATGCTTTTGAAGGCCGAGGCCGAGGTGAACTAAGGGAGAGTTTTTTGGTCGAGGCCTACATATTTTGAGCTAGGCCAAGCTATTTTGGAACAAAGAGATTATTTCGGTTCACGAAATTTGACCAAAACCCATAATTGGGTATCTTGGACCGTTGCCAGTGTCTCTCTTTCCCAAACAAAAGTAAATGATATTAATTTGAATGACCGTCTGCAAATGCAAAATGATACCGAGAATGAAATCGGTCGCTCGCTTTTCCCATTCGTTCACGGCTTACGAATTGTATAAATAAGTTTCGATTAATTGCATCAATCACATGCTGTAAAAATCTATTTTGGTTGCTTTCGGGTCGATATCTAGTATTTCGTTATTGCCGAGTACAGCTGCCTTCAGGTAGTTCTTCTTAATCTATTATAATTGTAATTGTAAATGAATGGGAAAAGCAAGCGACCGATTTCATTCTCGGTATCATTTTGCATTTGCAGACGGTCATTCAAATTAATATCATTTATTTTTGTTTGGGAATGAGAGACACTAGCAGCGGCCCACTCTACCCAATTATGGTTTTTGGTCAAATATCATCTCTTTTTGATTAATGTCAGGGTAATGGGACTACTGCGGAAATACCTTAGTATTGCCGTACAACTACTACAGAAGTAATCCTGATAACACTCGACCTCTGCCTGATCCAGAGGATGTCACCATTTTACCTTCACACAGACATCAAACGCTGTAAGAAGATGACGATCAGACCTCGTTAATGTCAGGGTACTTTACAAAGTCGAAATATAAAGTGATAACTTCATTAATAAGGAGGTAATTTCAACGATTTCGAAATTTTAACTTTGTGAACATTTCCTTGTGTTTAGATAAGCATATCTGTCGATCACTGACTAAATATGCCACTTTATACCCATTCAGGTTGGCATTAAATTCATATATAATGCCATTTAACTGTCGTGGGAAAGCTGATAAAAATCGTGAAAACAGCAATTTTCAGTGATTTTAGCAATTTTCAATCAATTTGGGCGTGTCCCACGTGTGCAACTTTTCGATTTTCAACTTTTAAATTAATATATATTATATACTTCACGACAATCTGTTGTAAAACAGGGGTTCCTTAAAATTTTAGAACTCTAACTCAATATGGCGATTTAGGGTTTTTTACCGAATTTCGCGCATATTTTGCGCAAATTTCTTAAAAACCTCCACATAACTATTTCTTTTTCCTGTCATCTTTGACATTGAATTACAATTTTTATAACTTAAAATATGTTATATGCCTGCTAAACTGCTTTCGATGAGTCTAAATGCCTGAAAAAAGGGGGTATAATACAGTACAGGGGGTAAATAGTAAATAGTATGGTGATTATAATGTCGGCGGTGGTGCTTGCCAGCACTGTGATAACAACAATGTTTAACGATTTGAGGCGTTAACTTTATCTAATACTCCCATTCAAATGGCATGTTCTCAATTCTCGAAAAAAATGCATGCACTATAAAATTTTACTGAAAAGTATAAGTAGGAATTAGGATGAAATCAGATTTGGCTGTATTATTAGATATTCGAATGGAGTCTATCTTCAATGGTAAAAATTCTTCACCTTGAGTTTGATACTTCTTGAGAACGTTTTTTGCTAAACTTAATTCGCAGGCGGTGGTCGACCCAGGGGAGAGTTTAAGCCTGAGGGCGAAGGAGATGCTTTTGAAGGCCGAGGCCGAGGTGAAGTAAGGGAAAGTTTTTTGGTCATGGCCTACATAAATTTCCAACCAAAATTCATTCTCGCATTATTTTAAAACGTCATCAAAATTTCAATGTTCGGTGAAGAAAACTTTCAAGTAGTCCTTGGCAAAATCCGCTGTAGAAACTTAAAAATCTGCCGACGCCGAATTTGATTCTTTACCGAGAAATGGTTTTCTGACCGAGGCCGAGGAAACATTGATCAACCCTCGTCTTATAAACGAGGCAGGGGCCTCGGTAGACCACTGTTTGCAATTTCCGCTCAATGACATTTTTAACCCGTACCCTATTTGAAACCAGATGTTATCTTCAGATAAGGGCTGTTTTAACTGCGGTAGACCCGGGCACTGGGCTAGGGATTGTCAGAGCAGGGGGGATCTTATATGCTACAACTGTAGAGGAGAGGGTCATCTTGCTAGGGATTGTCCTTCTGAGGTAAAATAGCTCCTGCTGCGGTCCTTAAATTGTTTATATTTTCTGCGAATTTCATTCTGTCGACCACTTCACCAGTGTAAAACTACAAAAGCTACTACGTTACATGAGATCGTTACATTAGACCACCTGGTTCAGGACTTTTTAACTATTTCCTAATTCCCAGGAGGACTCAGACCAGACCTGCTACAACTGCAACGGAACTGGGCACATTGCCAAGTACTGTGCCTCTGATACAGTAGCGGGAGGAGAACGAGAAGGAGGAGAGATCCGTGAGAGTAGAGCCCCCCGCGGTGGACGAGGAGGTCAGTACAATTATTCTTGCTACAGATGTGGCGGACAAGGTCACCAAGCCAGGGACTGTCCTAGTGACTCGAGGGAGTGTTACGGTTGTGGTGGACACGGACATCTTCAGAAGGAATGCCCTAGCAAGGAGGCTGGAGGTGCTGGGGGTGACTTTGAGGCTCCAACTTGTTACAATTGTGGCAAAGCTGGTGAGAATTCTTATGTTTTTTGTGCTCTTTAATTTACTTCTCGACATGTGAATATTCTTTAGTCTTAAAAAATGTATATCATCAAACTTAGCCTGATACAAATTACCATCATGTGAACATTTTAGCCTGTAAATCCTGAGTTTCACTGGTATGAATATGATAAAACTAAGTTTAACTGCCAGCTAGAACACACTACATAATAAGATAAACCAGTTGTCTTAACAGATTGTTCATTATTACACACACAAAACCGTGAAATAGTATATTTATATAATATGTATGAATGAAAAGCATTAATATTAAAATAGTATATTAAACTATGAGACGTACCATGTGATCACTACGCTCAATTTGTAATAGTTCAAGTAGCTTGTAGTGAAGTTGTGTGTAAGATTTGAGTGTAAGTGTAAAGAATATAATGGAATATTATCGATATCACTAATTAAGAACCCTCTAGTCAAAATACCAACCATATTTATAACTTGATAAATTAATAATAAATTTTTCAGGACATTTGGCTCGAGAATGTGATCGGCGCAGGGAACGCACCAACGAAGGACAGGTAAGTCTACAGACTACATTTAACACTAAGTGTGATATGGACTCATATATTATTATAAGGTTTGCTGTTTTGGGCTCTTCTAGGTAACTTCTGGGCCCCTCTGGCCCCTTACCCTCTATCATACTGGCACCAATTTGACACATAACTATTGTGTAGTCTGGGACCGCGGAATCTTAATTTTATGATTTGCTTGGCAAAAGTCCCTACCTTGCCAGTGCCCAGTAAATTGGTGCCCCTTTCGCTCTCTCTCTCTAAGCCGCCGCTCACATAATACCGGGGGTAAACTAACATTTTGTTGTTTAACCTACTACCTCAAGCAGCTGCACTATTTGGATCTTTTAACTTTTAAGTGCCCGGAATGAGGCAACGTGGCCCGGCTGAGTGCATTCTGAGCACGTTCATATAATGTACGGGCAACCTGTCCGATATGGACATGAAACTAGTTCTACACGTTATTCAATTAGACTCAAGAGAGGTCCAGGGGGATGCAATTTTGAAATGATACCATTAGTCCCCCTGGCCCCTTCCCTCCTCACATTCCTGATAACATTCCTCATTTCAGACCTGTTACCGTTGTGGAGAGAAGGGACACATGGCGCGTGACTGTACCATGGAGGAGGGGGTCTGCTACTCTTGCAATGAATCTGGTACTTTTTTATAGTTTTATAGTTTTATACGTTGGAATTAATTGAGTTAATTACTTCCCTTATCATCAGAGGTAACATGATACAAGTACGGACATATTTTACCATTATATATAGTGAGATGCCAAAATTTCCTTTTTTTTCGTGTTCGTCAAATTTTGCGAATTTTGCGATTGTTCAGTCCTTTTTGCGAAATGTACGGGGGAAAATGTGACAATTAAAATAATCTTTGCCAGGGTTATAAAAATGCTCATAAGACTTGAGGTTTGCAGTTAAATTAATACATTTTCAATAACGTCACGTATGACGATTTATATTTAATGATGAAACATCGCCATGAAAGAAGCCCAAAATGCTGGCAGACAGCCAGTATGTGTAGGAACTAAAACTTATAGTTCTAAACCTTATAGTGCTAGCCAATAGCAGGAACTTCAGTAAGCAATACCCCCGACTCATTCAAATAACAAATTCCTACCTGGATCATCATGCCGACCGCATCAAGAAACAAACCTAAAAATATCAACAAAAAACGAACACAAAAATCCAAAGTTTGCGTTACAGTAGTATAGGACGAAAAATTGATGACGAAAAAAAACTATTAATATAGCATATTTCAATTCAATTATAAAATTCACTATCTACTGATTATATAATATGGTACCACTGAACGTATAATATGGTACTCCTGGCAAACGGGCACAATAAAGACAAACCCGGCACACAAGATAAGGAACACGTTGCAAAACGACATTAACTCCAGGACGACTGCTATCCCATGAGGCACAAATTAGATTAGTGTGAAGGTGGCAAATGTCTTATCACCCAATGAGGAGAGGCCGTGAACCTTTCACTAGCCAATAGGAGCGCAGTATTCTGCAAACCTGCCCTCATTAGATTACCATAGGAACGCCAAGTGTATCAGGTTACACTTGGAACGCAAAGGTTACCTGTTACTCGTGTTGCTTAATTCTATGATACATGGATTACCACACTATTTTTATATAGTTGGAAGGTGTTAACTCTGTTAAGGGATCATTTGCACCCGTACTTAATTTTGCCTCTAATAATCATCCCTCAATGAAAATTCGTTTATCATGTATGCTGAGAATACCCCAAATTATGGCTTTCAGCTTTGAACTGCTGAGTTGCAATTTGTTTAATCGCAAAACCATGACGTCCATATAATTATAAAACTCTATTTCAGGACACATAGCAAAGGACTGCCCAGTGAAACCGCAAGGAGCATTCCAGGGTGAATGTTACAAATGTGGTGAGCGAGGCCACATCGCCGCGCTCTGTCCCGACGCTGGTGGTAACGACCAAGAAGTGATGTAGCGGATGGTCCTTGTGCACCGCCTCACTTGTTAGCGCCCACGTGGAGAGTAGTGGTGATAATGCACCGCCTCCCCCAGCTAGAATGTGAGGTGTGTAGCTGTGCAGTAGCTCTAAAGGAGAGTGTTATTTTATTCTATTATTTTCATAGTGTGAGGTGGGGTGATTTGATACGAGACTTTTGAGGCGATGAAAATGATACGAACATTGAAGAATTTAATTGAGATGAACCTCCAGCTGTGGGACGTCCTCCATCTTTTAACTGCCCAGTAGACTGGAGCAATATGTGGACGTCCACTCATGTTAAATGAAGTCACGAGGTAGGGAAATGTGATTCGCACTGTTGAACTGTCTACGATGTTAGAACCATGTGGTGTGGAAAGGTGGTTTTGGTGGTGATCTCACCATATTTCAAGGCGGGCTCGAACTTGAAATTGTTTTAAGATTTTGAGGCAAGAGATTGCTGTAAAAATGATGGCCGACATATTGAGTACAATACATTTGTAGCGCCCAGATAATCTTAACCTTAATTTAGTGTACCTTTGCGTTTACATGCAAGAAGTTTCAGGTCTGCGCGATTCGCTAGTTCGATTCAGTCTTGATGTACTAATTTATTTACTAAAACTTTAGTTAGTTAACTTTAAATACTTCTCATTACGATCCCGGTGGTCAACACCTTTGTCTTATGCTTTTGTTGCAGCTTTTTTTAATTAATTTATTTATCAAACAATTTTAATATCAGAAGTATGCTTGAAATCAAATATTATATACGACTTAAGTTCGGTGAAATGATGTACGCGTTCTCCAAGAGATATATATATAATTATATGTTTATGTTTTTCCTAATCTATGTTTCTGAATGTATCCAAATTCCAAAATAACGACATACACGTAATACCTTGTTTTATGATGATTATTTTAATATAGAGGGTAATCTGGGACTTTAAAGTTGCCATATTGAGCGATATGTAGTTTGGTTTAAATTAATTTAGTTATATAGACGAGTGTAGTTCGTGCTGCCAAGTTTATTCCGGTTTTACATGTTGAAATATTAGTGCTTGACTAAATTATAATCAAATTATTCCACCTTCTACAAAAATTGTTCGTCTCTCATTTTTAAAAATCACGTACAAAATAACTGTGGGTAGCTATGGTTAAAAAGTGGTAAAGCTGTTGATACAGATATCTATCTACCCTATCTATAGTTAGTAAGCAAGTGTGGTCTGTAAAGGGTTGTAGTTACACTGTATCTATACACTATACACTATACACGGTACACTATACACTTTACACATTACACTATACACTATACACGGTACACTATACTACTATACACTGTATCTATACACTATACACTCTATCTATACACGGTCCACTATACACGGTACACTATACACTGTATCTATACACTATATATATACACTATATACACTATACACTTTACCCATAATTTGACGTAGAACATATTTCTTGATTAATCGTATTCACTCCACTATTGCACAGTGCAGTGGATAATAGACAAAACTTAGGTCTATCTAGTATTCAATATTATATCTAGTATGTCTCCGGTACACTGATTTCTTGCTAAATGCTACAAACAAGAATTTAGATTACCTACCTGTCCAATTTAATTTGATTTTGATACATTCCATTCTGTTACACATACTGACATACCTCTTTTACGGCATTTAACAGTACCTTGTTTAAGTTACTTGTGAAGAGTTTCCCCTTCATTTCAATGATTGACGGCTCATGACCAGACTATATAATGTTATCTACAACCACTTTTATTACTTTAATTACTTTAATCACCAGTCACAACCACGCATTTCAACGTCTTACAGCTTCATGATATAGAGCCTGGGTATATTTAGTAGGTATTACTATAATTATATATTACATAATATGCTAGTTTACTTATATATTAAGATCAAAGGAATTCAGATTTGACGAATATTGTTAGGTCTGAAGTAGTTAAGGTCATCAATTATTAAAGATATGCTTTGTCCAGCAGAGTAGGGGGAATAGCTGGTAACGTTTTGGGATAAAGTTGAGAAACTGTATACCTTTTCTCACCCTCGAAATGTATGATAAAAGTATACACTACATACCATACAGGGACACATGATGTATAGTTCAGTAATCCATTTCCGGGTGTGTATATCTGACCACCCCGCTGCTGACCCCTAGCCTCCTAGTGTACCTCTGGTCTCCTCGATGTTTCTTTGAATTCCGTTTAGTTCAGCTGACTGATAATCGTTATTCTCTGCACGCCTCTGCTTAGATACATACCATCGCCTCAGTTTGCTCTGGTATCTGTTCATTAAAAACAAGTATGCAAATAGAAATGACGAAAACGCGTACGTCGCAAGATTCCTTGTCCTAATAAGGTAAAAGCTTATAAATAAGTTTTTACCTTTCTTAATATGATCAGTAGTTTACGTCATTGTTACGTAGATTATTGCAATGAAAGACCTCTAAGTTAGTGACAAACGATCAACTTTCAATCACTGTGAGGTAAATCCTACCTCGTATTGACATAGTTTACATTACAATACATTTACTTTGAACAGATTATGATATTGACAGCTTTTTGGCGCCACCAACCCCAACCCCCCCCCCGGGCCCCCCCTCCCCCTTCCGGTCCAGCCGCATAGCGCTGGCTGCCCTTTATTGCGCCCTTGGTCAGCATTTTATTTAAGAGTGTTCATCTGAAATAAATTTGACAGCACTCTGCCTCTATCGCACAGAATAGCGGCAGTACATTGGTATTGTTCTTTTACAGCCATCTCGGCGATGCTAACCATACTGAAAATTCCCTGGTCACCCTGATTTAAGTCTTTAGTACTACTCAACTATTCTAATTATTACTCGAGTATTCCAATTACGTACAGTATGGGATATTTTTGGTCCGCGTCACATCATAAATAAGCCTTGTAATAATGTACTGTACTTTGCATGCCTCGTAAAAACTGATACAGCTACAGCCTCTACAATCTGCTTAACTCAATTAAAAGATCATATTTCTTGTTCCAAGTTCTATGTTTTCACTTTTGGCTCTAAATTGTGAAAATGTAGACATTCTCGTGCAGAACGTTACTCTGAGTGGATAGTGGGACCAAAAACTGCCTATTACTAGCTTTTCTGTCCGGTAGAAAGTACCTTTTCGCGCACGACTGCTCTCTTTTTAATCGAGCTTGCTAGCTTCATTATTGCAACGTAGCGAAGAGAGAACATTTTTCCAAAGAACTGGATTGGAATTATTCTTCAAATCGTCATAGTATTCTAGGAATCACAAGCTTCTCCTCAAAGTGGGTACAATGCTATTGACTATAGTGCATATCCCTCTACAGTACATCACACATGTTCAGCAGGGTGTACATGTTGAATTCTATTATGAAGCTGTAGCCTGTTATAGTGTGTAGGTACATACCTCAACATTGAACTATAACACTGACTCCATCGAGTTTCCTAGCAAACAATTAACTCTTGATTCAAACTGGCTGCACATTGAATAAACAGACTAATATCTCATGCTATTCCCGGATCACTTTACCGCTACACGTTATCACATCCCACGTGACTTATATTTTCCCACGGGACTATTAAGTGTAAAGTTAAACAAAAAGTATTTCCGAACAGATACTTAAGTTTTTTAACTTAAGTCGGTATTTTTTCCCGATCCATGACTCAATGTGAGGTAAAACGGAACATGATAGTCTCCTCCTTACACATAATAACAATAATTATGTAGTATAATACAAGCGCCAATTATCTGACACGAGACCTCCGGAGTAAACTGAAGTCCCCCACTTGCCACTGTTGCTCTCATCCAGACAACACCACCTGGATTTCAAAATGCAGATCGGCACCCCTACTCGATGATGAGCAATAATCAATTGAGCTACATAATTGTAAATACAGGCTCTTTAAAACACCTGGTATTCGTCAGCAGCTGTCAATTCTTACAAAAGTTATCAACCATTTCTCAGTGGGTCTGTGTTGTAGGTTTATAAATCAAGAGGCTTGCATATAATGACCTACCAAGACGCGCGCCGTGTTGGACTCTTCGACGGTCTTGATCGATAATATTTGAATTATAACCTACACAGGCCGTAGGTAGGAAACAAATATTTTACGAGTATCACCCGTTATATTAAGGTATGTGTGAAGTATTGATGTACAAATGCGATGGTTCGAAGTATCGTCCCTACTCCAATTGAGCTGAGAACCACGATACGACAGCATTTTCAAGTGCAGTTGATTTGCGTCAGGTGAAACGTGTCCGATACCGTATTTCTTCCTCAGATTGAACTTGTAAAATCTTTGGTGATTACATTAGTATATATAGTTCGGGGTACCTAGTACAAGTACAACTACAGATTGATGGTACTTATATTAGCTTGTGTAGCTGTTTTAATCAATGCACTAAGAAGAGTTGACCAGTGTTCACATTTATACTGTTTTGGAGAGTTCACCAGCAGTGTTGTACTCTATATTACCAGTGCGGTAAGGATTAGTAATATTACCTGGTTTGAATAAAAGAATGTTTAATCTTTAAAGCCAACAACTTTAATAAAACAAGTCCTGATCATCGTCATGCTACTCAAATCACCAGCATAATTAGAAGTAAAGGGGGAGACAGTTTTTATCAAAAACGTTTTTTAATATCAGATACAATAAATTCAACATCTACTTACTAGCTAATATATACCGGGTTAACTTGCTTCGCAAAATTATCTTTAACTTTTAATTTTAATGGAAGAATTTAGGAACGAGGACGTTTAGATATAATAGAAAAGTCAGATTGAAAAATTTGAAATTGAATGCCTTGACAAACAAACCAGCTTTCCAAAAATAATAAACTCAGCCAAAAATAGAATTAAAAAAAGTTAAAACCGCTCAAAAATTCAAATACATAAATCAGGTCCTTTAATTTCCATGCCTTCCTACTGGCGGCCCAATTTCCGGTCGGTATCATCAGAGAACTCGTATTATGAGAGAGGATTCGCTAACAAATGTGCTTTGCCATGAAGTTGAAGTGATCTTCCATGAAACTCATTATGAAGAAATATCCGTGATCATACCCCTGAAAAATTCAGCGTTGTTATTATTGAAACGAGGAAGTTCAGGGGGAAAACTCGTAACCTAAAACAGGTTATTTCAAACTTAATATTTAATTACAATGTCATTACATTGATATTTGATAACATATTGAACTTACCGGGTGCATCCTGAAGTTGAGGTTGATAAGTTTGTTGCCGCTGCAAGCGTTAGCGAAGTTTTCCGGCAATAGTTGCTTGTCGTTCAAATAAGGATCATCTTCGCCCTGGGAATACGATAAAATGAGTTTCTTACAGGTAAATCAGTCAAGTAAAACCGTATTAGGTAAATATTTCAATCTGATATCTGATATGAAGGAATGCTGTGCCCAGTCAAATAGATTCTTCTCGATCAGTCATCTTCAAAGGAGAATTAAGGAGATTAAGCTAGCATGTAGCAGGGGTTTAATTTATAAAATAATGAAATATGCCGCGCGCGATCCACATAATTACCCTCGCGGCGCAGGGATTTCTATCATTATCGAAGCGCCGCTGCCGCTAAATCAACATATTTTGTGGACAATTTGGACAATAAATTCGATTTAAATGCGATTGTAATTTGTGTACAATTCAAAAGGCTACCTTGGACTAAAGATAAATACACATCGCCATGACAGAGTAATGAAATACTACAAGTGCTAGTAAATTCGTCTCACCTGGTCCAAAAGGATTTCCAACTTCGGGCCATCATACTCCTTTGCAGTAAAGGTTGCGTCGTATTGCTGAAATACGATCCTAATTATGATGTTTCAAAGTTAACATGATTACAAGATGATAACGGTGAATACGTGATGCAAAAATGCAAGTTCCTTGCCCTGGAATTAACACAAATATCACACATATCACACATAACTAAGATACATGACAGATAACATGACATATTGCTGGAAATAATGTGTAAGTAGTGCATGCAACACAGAGCAGGTCAAAACGGCGAGTTTTAAGTTTTTACATAATCTCATTACATATTACACATAATTACATAATATTACACATGTATGTAACATTAGGCTAAAAGTTTGTAGCATTAGTCGAACCATAAGTGTATAATACTTGATACATTTCGACAGAAATTATGGCGGAAGCAAAAAATTTCATATTCGCAGACCATCTTTCGAAATGAAAGGAAAATCATATAATTTCACGGCCTGACCTATAATCTACTCGTGTGTACTGCTAAATCGCTATAAGTAAAAACAGACGAGTCCGCAACTTTTAATCGCTTCTGCAGTAGTAGCCAAGTTTATTTAATCTACAAAATATCCCGCCTATTAAAATCTTCAGCCTAGGTACAACACTATTATGTAATTATAAGCCTTCCCGAGAAATTCCTGAAATTTCAGTGCAACTATTTACAGCATTTTGAAATTTGATCCTATTATTTCAGCATGGTATGTTTTAAACGACAAAGTCGTTGTGTATTTTCAATTATAAGAAATCACACCTGCAAATAGTGTACCCTCTAAAAGGTTTCGTTCTCTTCATCTACAGTATTATAACTCGGCTGGCTACAATAAATAAGTAAAACGAGACCAACAGTAATTCTATAAAACTTCTGGTTATTGGTCAGCCTACCCACAAATATGCAAAACATGCAGGCTCGGCCACGATTTAAGAAAACCATCATTAAGCCAGCAAAATAAAGTACTACTTCTGTAACATTACCTAAGGTTCGCGATAGAATTATTTTGACGGTCACCACCTTCAAGTGATCGACCGAGCACTCGGCCTCGGCTTTACCGAAGAATGACGATTTTTCCTCGGCCTCGGCTTTACCGAAGAATGACGATTTTTCCTTGGCCTCGGTCAGAAGAATGATTCTTCGGTTTGCCTCGGCCTCGGTAAAAATCGAGTTGCCATTCCTCGGCCTCGGCAAAATTTGAAGATTTAACCGAGGATTTGACCGAGGATTTTGTACATAGCTATAGGCACTTTAAAAATTCGTAATTTTGGAAAATTGGTACGCAACTCTTGTTGAAAGTAAAATAAACGGCAATCTTAAGAAATTCTACCTCATTCTACATCCTAATTGTTAGCGAAATATCTGATGCAATTAATACTTTTTTGTACCAAAATTCCTCGGTCGAAATTAGAACTCCTCGGTCTCGGTTAAATTACAATATGCCTTCCTCGGCCTCGGTCGCAAATCCTGCCCTCGGTCGATCACTGCCACCTTCTGAACAAAACTAAGATTATAGCCCTACCAAAAATAGAAAAGACTTCCCAGCGCATACAGATATGTGGAAAAGATCCAAACTATCATTTTCATGTCATTTCATGTCATTTTCCCGCAAACATAGTCGTATTATCTGCCATTATATTATAATATCCCGTCAGCGCCAGGCTTCAGTTTTTTTCCAAAGAACATAACCCTTTTTAATAACATACGGTTTACCATTAGTTTTGCATGCCGTATGTCTCACAGACACCTTTTTAGTATCAGATATGCAGATAATATGCACATGTTTAGTATAATATGCACATTTTTAAGTATCAGATATGCAATTATGCAGTACTTACATCTGATGTGTACACTGGATTATTCTGAAATATTACACCCGTTTCTTAGGCAACATGGCGTCACAATGAATAGCGTGTATGAGAGGTAAAAACAGATTTCATGTGCACTTGCGTTTAAAAAGAGAGGTAACATTTAGAGTGAGTTTCCTTGGCAACGTAATTAATTCCATAAGGAGTTAATGAGTATTCGATGTAATAATCTTCATTTTGACGATCTTTAAATCAGTTTCGTGTCGGTTTCTGCTACAAGCTTCGGATTAAAATATGCTAAAAATGAGAAAATTACAAAATCTGAGCTGCTAGGCTGTATCAAATCACAGAACAATTCGAAAATGTAGCCTGTAAGTCGCTTCTAACAAAAGCAAAAACAAAGGATCAGAGGAGATGAAAAAAGCTTTGATTACACATTCCAAACATGAAAACGAACGACAAAAATCCTGAGAATGTTTTTAAAAACAAGGGTTACCTTCCAGGCTGATTTGTTGTCTCCGAGATATCCGGAAAATGCTTTCGTTCCCCAGGGACATTCTGAGGGATTGGAGATGGGAGCAAACACCGAGCAACACTGAAAGTGTATTGAATTAGACCGTGCAAAAACACTGACAATACTTTTATAAGAATTTGATTGTAGATAAATATAATTATATTATAAGATAAAATGTATGTACCATTTCAAACATTTGTACCATTTCAAACATTTGTACATTGGATCTATCCTGAACCCTGATTTGTGAATGATCTGTGATATTGATTTTATTATTTGCATCATTTAGCAAAGAAACACCTTTCTGTGGAAGCCAGTATGACTCAAGTGTAATTCTATTACTCGAGAAATCGGGTGTGAGGGTTAAATGAGGAGCTGCACATTGCAGCAAAGTCTCGGACAAAGAAAGTATGGTACACACTACCTTAACCGTCACTGGCCATAAAGATCCTTCGGCTTCCTGTAATTGGCTGGTTGCACTTGTGTAACATTGTGGCTGTTGGAATACACCGAAGTAAAATAAGTGTCTAGATAAAAAAAAAAAAAAAAAAATAAGTAGACAATGAATGTGTACTGTGTAATGTGATGCTAACAAAAGAGTCACTGGAATGCAAACTTTTATCAAGATCTGCACTGCAAATATACATTATAATCTAGATACATTGTATTATATCGGGGAAGAGCATTGTGCCTTTGTATATCACTGCATTCTTTGCTATTGTATTATATCACTGTATTGTATTATATCACTGTATTGTACTTATTATTAACACGGACAATATCAATGAGGAGTCTTATAATTATTGTGTTTATTTTTAATAAAGAGTTATTATTATCGTATCCAGGTCCACAATTGAGGGAATGTTGAAGCTATTAAGTGATGTGTACAGGGGAATGTGTACAGTAACTGATATGCCCTGATATCATTGATGTGTACAGTAACTGATATGCCCTGATACCATTGGTCAAGATCCTGACAATAGCGCCCCGTTTCTTCTATTGAGATGCGAATATAATTCTAATTTCCAACAATAACTTATTAGCTTATTGAAGAGTATGAGGGTATATTGTAAGAATACAAGCCTTACTTTATCTATTGATCAATACAGTGAGTGAGCCATATCGTAATATATTTAAATATACACTCTCAGCAATCAGCACTCATCTGTGTACAAACTATACACTGCGTATAGCTATACAGGTCTGTACAGTGTACACACCAGTACAGTACACACCAGTACAGTGTACACCAAGACACCATGACACTACATTATTTTTACCAGGTTCCGAAACCTTAGTATTACAAAAGATAGCACACCATTAACTGCTATCTTTTAAAACCCTTTCACTACACTACACAGTACTCATCATAATATTTACACAACTTCAATGGAATGTACATATTTTAACTTTGAATGCATCAAATATAATGGTCTCATGTCTACAAGCCCGGCCTTGTAACGATGGTAAGTTCTACTTTTAAAACTAAAGTGTGGCACACACAAGTGTAATACTAACTAAGTAACTAGAACACACGTGTAACTAACTAGAGTACACGTGTAACTAACTAGAGCACACGTGTAACTAACTAAGTAACTAGAGCACACGTGTAACTAACTAGAGTACACGTGTAACTAACTAGAGTACACGTGTAACTAACTAACTAACTAGACTCTAGAGCACACGTGTAACTAACTAGAGCACACGTGTAACTAACTAAGTAACCAGAGCACACGTGTAACACTAATTGATACTGTAAGGGATGTATCTGAATGTGACACTGAACCTGGATTTGTCATTTCAAACCGTCTGTTTCCATGAGAGAATACAAATTGTAAATGTAGGGTAACAGACATTTATCTAAACATTAAGGATGTCACTTTCCTGTTTACTCGTATAGACTATTGAATCTACTACTGAATAGACTATTGAATCTAACTCAACTGTATCCTCGTATTATAGACTATATTCAACTTTCAAAGTTTTCAAAACATTTTTTAACTCCAAGTGTAAATGAATAATCTACAGTGCACATAATTATCACTTTGATTTTTTCCATTTGTAATTATCTCTATTTACGTAGTCTGGAAACGTGACAGAAAACACATACAAGTCACCACTTAGAGTTAAGTTCACGAATTTATCTGCAATTATGTATGTCATGTTGGTTGGTAGTGCTACATCTTCATGTCTCAGTCTATGACGAAGCTTCAAATGCCATTATATTACGCACTTAAGTTCGCGTACTAAAGTTCGCGTACTAAAGTTCGACAACATTACAGTTGTTACATTCTCGCATTTCCTCTGCTGTATCCAATGAGGTGTAAAATGTACCGAAGTTTGAACTCTATAATCCATATCTGTAAACATTCTATTCAATAAAATGAATCATTGACCTCAGACTCAATTGTTAGTTAAAACACTTTAATAGAAATGTAGACTAAGCGGAGAGATAAAAGACTATCGTGGTAACTCGTACTCAGTTTTGTAGATCTAGATTGTAGAGCACGCTATATAAATAACTACCACATACCACACATATTATCACAAACGATTAGTAACCAGGTACGGTACCGAGATTTAGCTGCTGAAAACAGTCGGATATAAATCTATTTGCCTGTTTGGAGTTCTGGAGAATTACAATCATAATTCATACTGAAAAATTCTGGAATTTCTAACTGCTCGTTGCTAGATGTCAAAAAATTGTTTTATCTGCCATTGAACCCTGTGATCCTATGATGAGGACCCGGCAATAGCCGTTGGATCACAAGCAGAAACTATTTGTCGAACTAGAGTACGCTACCTGGACTCTAGTTTGACACGTACCGAAGTTCGACAGAGGTGATATCTGGCGAACTTAAGTTGTCGAACCATTATAGTGCGTTTCGAACTAGTGTACGCGAATCCCATTATATTGCCATTACATTGTCAATCTACCGCTAATTTTACATTCCACGGCTCTATGGTTTACATTTTACAAGTAGTAAGTAACTTAGTGAGTAATGTTTTACAAGGAAGCAATACTCATTGTATTTCTACATTCCTGATTCATCTATATAGGAAAATGATCTTTGATATAATATGATATACTATGGAAATGAGGAAATGTGATTATGATATAATTTCGGTCATTAATTTACATTGACGGTAAATTCCATTAAAATATCACGATTAATGTCTCAACTCACAACACATTAATTTAGGTTGACTAAACACATAACATTCCATGTTTTCAGTTTCAAACTTTCCCTCAACGACTTATAAACAGTGAGAATAGGGGAAGCGAGGGGATGGGGGCTTGAAAGGTGAGCTGGATAGAAGGCGGGGGGGGGCTGGAGAGGGAAGAGGGGCTTGGGAGAGTGGGGCCGTGGGGGAGAAAGGAGGGGCTACAGAAAGGGGGCTGGAAAGAGGGGGCGGTTACTGACCTTGTATTTTCCGGGGTTCCTCAGAGCAGCGATCAGAGCTCCGTGTCCTCCCATACTGTGTCCTGAGATTGCACTCCTTCCAACGTTAACATTGAAGTTACTTTGAACCACTGTTGGCATCTGAAATGAGTATATAACCAGACTATTTTAAAAAGCCAGGGTGGGTACCCACTACTCACTCCCTTTTTACAATAAGTTCTAGAGTTTTCGTAACAGAGTTACAGACGCTTCTCCAGTCTTATAAGCAGATAGAAGTTATATAACCGTTAAAGAAGTAACTAAGAAACTAAGGCACTAAGGTACTCAGTAACCAAGTAAACAAATAAGTTAAGTAACTAAGTACATAACAAGTAACTAAGTAAATAAGTAACTAAGTACATAACTAAGTAACTAAGAAACTAATGTCCTAAGGCACTAAATAACCAAGTAACCTATTGAACAAATAAGTCAAGTAACTAAGTACATAACAAGTAACTAAGTAAATAAGTAACTAAGTACATAACAGGTAACTAAGTAAATAAGTAACTAAGTAACAAGTAAGTAAGCAACCTCTCCCGTAACATAAGAGTACATCCTATAATTTGTTTTCCAGGGTTCCTCAGTAGCGTTGACGTAGAATCCAGCTCCGGACCCAAAGTCGTAACTCTCGTGTTCTCCCGCCAGGTCAAAACCACGAGGGCTCGTGTCCGGGTTAACCACGACAATACCGTGCTTAGCTGCGTACCTGAAGTGTTTATTGTTTAATGAAGTGTGATTTAAATGCTAAAGCCAGTCAAAAGTATGAAAACTTAGATTTCTAAAATGAGTATTTGTTGTAGGCTTGGGTGGTCAGAAATAAGAACAAACCGTTGGAAACCACTCTTCATGATATAGTTTTGTTCAGTGCAGGTCAGTCCAGAAAGGTAGTAAACTATCGGAAGATTCTTTTTTTTCTCATGTTGTGGTGGCAGATAGACTCCAAACTTCATTGTGCATTTCAAGATGGAGCTGAAATCAAAATAAATTGCAACACCACTAATTTAATCTTAGTAGTCCGGTACTTTATACAACATACTGCATTTAATTCTATATAACAGTGCTAGTGGGTTTACTCAAACATATTACAAATAAATTAGAGTAGAGGTTTAGCTAATACGTAGAGGTTGTGTTTACTGAAATTAATGATAAACAATGAAAATAGAACTTACCTCTCATGTTCATAGACACATTGAAGTCCTCCATAACATTTACTTTGAGAGACTAATTTTACAGTCTTGGACATCCTGTTAAGTGTTATATGATGAAACACTGATATACAGACTTAAGTTCATTTCACCCTTTTCATGAAATGGAGGTGTCTACGCAAGGTGTGAATACAAAATTACACATTATTTTAGGGGGGCATCGTCATTGTGGGACAATTTTTAAAAACTTGACTCAACTACTTTAAAAGTAGTCAGCGAAATTGCATGTTTTTCTCTAGAAACACACTTTTTTAGAAATTTTATTGGTCTATCCTGTAAAATGACCTAATTTGTTGAATTTTACCTTTTTGGAATGTTTCTAATGAAGTTTTAGTAAGAATCGAGGGAGCCAGTTATGTCAGTAATAAAGAGAATCATAACGATTATCTTTGGTTTCATCCTTATAGTTATGTGGCAAAGAAGCGATTTATAAATCAGTCACACAGTTCTTGACACTGTCACAGAGTTCATGCCACTGTTACAGAGGGTGGTTCAGCGGTGTAACAAAGGGCCCCGCTGACCCCGCTGTGCAGGGGGGGGGGGGGTTGCCATCATGGGGGAAAGAATGAACTACAGTACTAGCTAAATCTCACTTTTTTAGAGATTTTACAGACATGTCCTCTAAAATCATCTAATTTGTCCAATTTTAGGGAGGCACCAAAGATTACATAATGGGGGGGGGGGGGGTGTCATGTCCGTCTATGTCCGCCTATGTCCTGTCCTTTTTGGATTCTATGAGACAACGGACGTGTTTTTTGGGACATTGGCGGACACGGACGGACATTGGCGGACTCGGACGGACATTGGCGGACTCGGACGGACATTTGCGGACCCGGACGGACATTGGCGGACTCGGACGGACATTGGTGGACATTAGCGGACATTGGTGGACATTAGCGGACAAACATTTTGAGAATTTTTCCCAGAAGGAGGACCTAGGTGGAGGAGGAGGAGAACTGAGGAGGATGACTCAGGAGGAGGAGGACTCAGGAGGAGGACTGAGAAGGAGGAGGACTGAGGAGGATGGCTGAGGAGGATGGCTGAGGAGGATGACTGAGAGGGAGGAGGAGGAGGAAGAGGAGGAAGAGGACTGAGGAGGAGGATGAGAAGGACTGAGGAGGAGAAGGAGGACCTAGGAGGATGAGGACCCAGGAGGAGGACCCAGGAAAAGGCCCTAGGAGGAGGAGGAGGACTGGGGAGGAGGAGGACTGTTGAGGACTGATGAGGAGAACTGAGGACGAGGAGGAGGAGTAGGAGGAGGACTGAGGAGGGGAGGAGGAAAACGACTGGGGAGGATCAGGAAGACCCAGGAGGAGGAGGAGGAGGAGGACCCAGGAGGAGGAGGAGGACTGAGGAGGACTGAGGAGGAGGACTGACGATGACTGAGAAGGAGGAGGACTGAGGAGTACTGAGGAGGATGGCTGAGGAGGATGGCTGAGGAGGATGGCTGAGGAGGATGACTGAGAGGGAGGAGGAGGAGGACTCAGGAGGAAGAGGAGGAGGAGGACTCAGGAGGAGGACCTAGAAGAAATGAGAAGGAGGACTCAGGAGAACTGAGGAGGAGGAGGAGGAGGAGGACTGAATAGGAGGAGGAGAAGGAGGGGGACTTGGAGAGGACTGAGGAGGAGGAGGACTGATGAGAAGGATGAGGAGGAGGACTGAGGAGGAGGACTGAGGAGGAGGAGGAAGAGGAGGAGGATGAAGAGGAGGAGGAGGACCCAGGAGGAGGAGGACTGAGGAGGAGGACTGAGGAGGACTGAGGAGGATGACCGAGAGGGAAGAGGAGGAGGAGGAGGAGGACTCAGAAGGAGAAGGAGGAGGACTAAGGAGGACTGAGAAGGAGGAGGACTGAAGAGGAGGAGGAGGACTGAAGAGGAGGAGGAGGACTGAATAGGAGGAGGATGAGGGGGACTGGGGGAGGACTGAAGAGGAGGATGAAGGACTGAGGAGAAGGATGAGGAGGAGGACTGAGGAGGACTGAGGACTGAGGAGGAAGAGGAGGAGGATGAAGAGGAGGAGGAGGACCCAGGAGGAGGACCCAGGACGAGGACTCATAAGGAGGAGGACTGGGGAGGAGGAGGACTGTTGAGGACTGATGAGGAGGACTGAGGACGAGGAGGAGGAGTAGGAGGAGGACTGAGGAGGGGAGGAGGAAGAGGACTGAGGAAGATCATGAAGACCCAGGAGGAGGAGGAGGAAGAGTAGCAAGAGGAAGCATCTAAATGTTATTTCCATTTTTGTCCGTTTTTGTCCATTTTTGTCCGTTTTTGTCCGCTCTATTTTTTGTCCGTTTTGAAAATATAGGGTACCGAACGGTGGAGGAGGACTGAGGAGGGGAGGAGGACTGACGAGGAGGACTGACGATGACTGAGAAGGAGGAGGACTGAGGAGTACTGAGGAGGATGGCTGAGGAGGATGGCTGAGGAGGATGGCTGAGGAGGATGACTGAGAGGGAGGAGGAGGAGGACTCAGGAGGAGGACTCAGGAGTAAGAGGAGGAGGAGGACTTAGGAGAAATGAGAAGGAGGACTGAGGAGAACTGAGGAGGAGGAGGAGGAGGAGGAGGAGGACTGAATAGGAGGAGGAGAAGGAGGGGGACTGGGAGAGGACTGAGGAGGAGGAGGACTGATGAGAAGGATGAGGAGGACTGAGGAGGAGGACTGAGGACCGAGGAGGAAGAGGAGGAGGAGGACCCAGGAGGAGGAGGACTGAGGAGGAGGACCCAGGATGGCTGAGGAGGATGACTGAGAGGGAAGAGGAGGAGGAGGAGGAGGAGGACTCAGGAGGACTGAGAAGGAGGAGGACTGAGGAGGAGGAGGAGGAGGATGACTGAATAGGAGGAGGAGGGGGACTGGGGGAGGACTGAGGAGGATGACCGAGAGGGAAGAGGAGGAGGAGGAGGACTCAGAAGGAGAAGGAGGAGGACTAAGGAGGACTGAGAAGGAGGAGGACTGAAGAGGAGGAGGAGGACTGAATAGGAGGAGGATGAGGGGGACTGGGGGAGGACTGAAGAGGAGGATGAAGGACTGAGGAGAAGGATGAGGAGGAGGACTGAGGAGGACTGAGGACTGAGAAGGAAGAGGAGGAGGATGAAGAGGAGGAGGAGGACCCAGGAGGAGGACCCAGGACGAGGACTCATGAGGAGGAGGACTGGGGAGGAGGAGGACTGTTGAGGACTGATGAGGAGGACTGAGGACGAGGAGGAGGAGTAGGAGGAGGATTGAGGAGGGGAGGAGGAAGAGGACTGAGGAAGATCAGGAAGACCCAGGAGGAGGAGGAGGAAGAGTAGGAGGAGGAAGCATCTAAATGTTATTTCCATTTTTGTCCGTTTTTGTCCATTTTTGTCCGTTTTTGTCCGCTCTATTTTTTGTCCGTTTTGAAAATATAGGGTACCGAACGGTGGAGGAGGACTGAGGAGGGGAGGAGGACTGACGAGGAGGACTGACGATGACTGAGAAGGAGGAGGACTGAGGAGTACTGAGGAGGATGGCTGAGGAGGATGGCTGAGGAGGATGGCTGAGGAGGATGACTGAGAGGGAGGAGGAGGAGGACTCAGGAGGAGGAGGAGGACTCAGGAGTAAGAGGAGGAGGAGGACTTAGGAGAAATGAGAAGGAGGACTGAGGAGAACTGAGGAGGAGGAGGAGGAGGAGGAGGACTGAATAGGAGGAGGAGAAGGAGGGGGACTGGGAGAGGACTGAGGAGGAGGAGGACTGATGAGAAGGATGAGGAGGACTGAGGAGGAGGACTGAGGACCGAGGAGGAAGAGGAGGAGGATGAAGAGGAGGAGGAGGACCCAGGAGGAGGAGGACTGAGGAGGAGGACCCAGGAGGACTGAGGAGGATGGCTGAGGAGGATGACTGAGAGGGAAGAGGAGGAGGAGGAGGAGGAGGACTCAGGAGGAGGAGGAGGAGGACTGAGGAGGACTGAGAAGGAGGAGGACTGAGGAGGAGGAGGAGGAGGAGGAGGACTGAATAGGAGGAGGAGGGGGACTGGGGGAGGACTGAGGAGGAGGGAGGAGGACCCAGGACGAGGACTCAGGAGGAGGAGGACTGGGGAGGAGGAGGACTGTTGAGGACTGATGAGGAGGACTGAGGACGAGGAGGAGGAGTAGTAGGAGGACTGAGGAGGGGAGGAGGAAGAGGACTGAGGAAGATCAGGAAGACCCAGGAAGAGGAGGAGGAAGAGTAGGAGGAGGAAGCATCTAAATGTTATTTCCATTTTTGTCCGTTTTTGTCCGCTCTATTTTTTGTCCGTTTTGAAAATATAGGGTACCGAACGGACAAAAAACATGATCCCCCTCTATAACAGCAAAAATTGAACATTTTATTTAGCAATTTAGGTGTCCATTAATGTCCGCTAATGTCCGCTAATGTCCGTCTATGTCCGCCTATGTCCGCCTATGTCCGCCTATGTCCGCCTATGTCCTGTCCTTTTTGGATTCTATGAGACAAGCGGACATAGACGAACGTGACACCCCCCCCCCCCCCCCCCCATAATATACTAGGGACCGCTGCGCTGATAAACTTCGAGGCCATGAAAGTGGAGCAATTGCACTTTTTACGTTTGAAGGTGGGTCTCCGACCCACTATTTGTTAACTCCTCACTATAGTTTCAAACCATTGCTTCATATCATCACAGTTACCGATAATTCAGTTGATCCAAAGGTTTACAGTAAAATTACCGATACGTTATGACCTTACTAATAATAATAATAATAAATTAATGTTATTTTTATACAGCACCAAAAGGTTAAATAATTTAAATGTAACCCTTATGCACAGCTGTAAATGATACTTAAATTAACGAGAGTGTGCATCTTTGCCTTAGACGGAGGCGGAACAAGAAACTGTTCAGAAAACAGGCGATAAAAACTGTAAAATATAACGTGACTAAACAAGGCAGATGCACCTAACAAGCAGATATCCAAGAAGGGTTAGCAGGTTTTCTAACAGAAATCGCAGTATGAAACTCAACAGCCTAACAAATTTAAAAATCAGGTTTATAAGAGTGAAATTCCCTGATATATTAAAAATTCTATA